TATCGTTTATGCATGAGCCGGGGTTAATAGCGCTTGAGGAAGAAGACGAGAGAAAAACGCGTCAGCGCCATTCGTTAAATGATATTTTCGCTACTGAGGAAGGGTACGCGTCCGAAGGTAATGAACCCTTAGTAAATAGATCTACAGAATATCGAATTTTGTTTATTAATTAAAAATCAAATTTAGCTGGCACCAAGAGATCAAAGAAATTTGACATTCAACGGCGGCTAAAAAATATGATCCTTCGAGATGATCAAACAGTCGAGGAAATGCCCACTTCAAATTCTGATCCACCTTCTCCAAAAGAAGCTGCACCGATTCCCGTCTCTCAACCTTCCGGATCTAAAGAATTGAAAGCTCCATCAAGCTCGACACAATTAATATCATCGTCACCCCCAGTACTTATTAGACGCCAAACTCAAAAAACGCTTAACATCTCCACAATAAAAAAAGAACCCCGAATTCCCACCGAATGTAAATGCTCGGTTAATAAAGAGCACTACGAGAACTTGATTCTTGATTCGGTGTTTGATGGAAGCGTCGAAAAGATTTTCAATTTTATGTATACGTGTGAATTTTTTAAGGATTTCCTGGTGAACGTTGAAAAGGCTACCGGTAAATTTTTTTTATTCTCTTGTCTGGTATACAGAATTTATCTTGAAAGACCCTTGATATTTTTTCCATTAGATGTCAACATCAGCGAATGGAAATTAGACAATTCCAAAAAATTAAATCGTTCCTCATCCTATATGAAGAAACTGAACTTTCCAATAGGACCAAAAAGCACCAAATGCATATTTGAAGAAGAATGCCTTCACCGTGACTTTGACAGGTAAATACCTATTGATTAATACAAAATTTAGCTAGCCTTGAATTATAAAATTTTTCTTTGATTTTTGTAGTTATGTCACAATAATGGCAACTACACAAACCCCTGACGTGCCATCGGGCAACGCGTTCTGTATTAAAACACGCGTGTGCCTCATGTGGGCTGGTGAGAACAAAGCTCGTGTTGTGATCACTGCTGCAGTAGAATGGTCAAAATCTAGTCTTTTAAAAAGTATGTGTTGTTCTATTCGAAATTTCCAATTGCTACAAAGTTTAATTGAAGGTAAACTAATTTTTACTCGAATTAGGCAAAATTGAAAAAGCCGCGATTGACGGTCAAAAAGAGTTTTATTCGTCGCTAGCAAACACAACGCGCACCTACATTGCTGCACATCCTGCAGAATTTCGGGAAGACGATACATCAGTATTACCGAGGCTTGAACACTTATCGGAAGGAACCGATAATGATTTGCTTAACAAGGATGCGATACGCGAGGAGCGTATGTCAAACACCAACATTCGAAACTTTCCTTCACAAAACAGATATTCAGAAAGTAAAACGTCTGGGTCCTCTTCGTCATCATCCTCTATCACGTCAGATAACAATAAGCGATCTATGTTAACAGCAATCAGTGATAACACCTGTGCATACATCCCAGACGTTTCAGAAATTTTGTTTAACACGATACAACGGATACTCGAGGTATACGACAATATGCCATCATTGCCATCACTACCTTCACAGAATACAATGATCTTCATTGGATTCGTGTTCATGATTATTTTAAACATACATATGCTACTACGCTTGAATGAGATTTCTAACAAGATGGACATGTTGCGGAATCACAATGAGGTCATGTATCGCCTTGACGAAAATAACTTGTATGGAATACGACACCGAGCATGGTATTACTATTTTGGGATGTTTGATGAACGAACCATGTGTGCTCCTAAATGATGTTTGGGCTGGCAGGCCGACCAAAGATGAAAAAAGCTAATTTAAACACAAACATTTTATACATTTATAAATAATACATAAACGAGAACTTTTTACATAAAAATATAGACACCTTTCTCACAAAAATGAATAATTTTCCTTTTCCTTTTAATCTTTTGTAAGTAGTTTTTCTTTCTTGTATAGCTTTCTAAAAAAAATTTGGTTCTACAATAAAAATGTAAATACATGTATTCTGATTTAAAGTTAATTGTGTACATGTACATGTATTTACCAAAACTAATTTGTGCCGATGTATAACGGCACATATGCATGTATAACGATAAGCATTACATGTTACCCAAATTTTATACAGTATGTACAGTACATGTATACATGAATCATGTAATCATGGTGGTGGTGCCAAATTTATGTATATGTTATCAAAATCAATAATATGATCAGAGAAATACTATCGAATTAAAATTTCATATTCGTATTATCAACTCCACATCAAGCCAAAGAACCTCCCACTTCACTGGAAGAATTTTAGCCTCTTCAGAAGAACTCCCGTAATAATGAACTTACCTGGAATCATATTCGAATAGATCAGGTGTTTTTTGTTTTGAATGGTATCCAACGAGAAGCTATCATAATATTATAATTACATGTCATGAGTGCCAAAATTCTACATACAAAATATATATAAAACATTGCTTGGCTTGTTTAAATTCTTATTTCTCTTGAAACTCTCATTAGATTTTCAAAAATGTTATGCATTAACAAAACAGGATTATTTGTTTCTTAAAATTTTGTATAACATAAAAAAAATTTGTTTTAGGGAATACGTGCCCAATATTCTAGACATAGTCTATTCATCTATACATGTATAATACCTGCTATTTTTGGTTGTTGTGAAAAACTAATGTAACACGTAATAATCTAGAGTATGTTTAATCATAATTACGTGTATATAAAGATAATACGCAATATTCTCATCATTGGTACGGGATCTCAAAACTCCACGGACCGACTGTTGTAACGAAATATTTACGAGCGTGCATCATAATTTATTTTATATCGATATGATCAAAAACTAACTATTTTTGCGCGTATATGCTGTAAAAATGACAT